GTTCACCCTCCTTCTGACATCCTCTACTTTGTCAAGTGCAGAACAGAGCTGAACTATTATTTCTCATGATCTGGACACTCTGCTTCTGTTATCACAGCTTAAGGATGCATTAGCTATTTCAGCAGCCATGCTTCACTGCTGATTCATGTTCAGCTTGTGATCAACTAAAGACATCAAGATGCTTTTCACGTATACCACTGCAAAGCCAGGTCCCCCTATTCTGTACCTTTGCCTTTGATACTTTGCACCTACTTGCAGGACTTGACATCTATCTCTGTTGAGTTTCATTATGCTGGTTTCTGCACAAGTGTTCCAGCCTGCCAAGATCATTTTGAATCTTGATTTTGTCTTCTGCAGTGTTATCTATTCCTCCTGTTTTTGTGTCACTTGCAAATATGATAAGCATTCTCTGCTCCTTCAGCCAAGTTTATAAAAAATGTTCAACAGAACAATGCCTAGGACAGAGTTTTATGGCCTCACTTAACTTGCATGACAGCCCCAACAATGACTGCTGTTGTGAAAGCAAAGTAGAAAACAGTTTAAGTATTGTATATAATAGGCAGCACCCTTGCCAAGCACTGTTTTAGTCTCAATGCAAGTTAAGCATAAAAAAAACAATTGCCAAAGTTTAGGCAGGGAGGAGGGAAACCTAAACTGCCACTGAAACCTATCAATATATACCCAAGAAAAGAATTGGTGGCTAATAGGCACCATGGAATAATAATGGCACAAGAACAAAACCATTAAGTCAGATTTGGCAACAACATTAAGTTTTCCTTTAAAACAAGCTTCTAGTGCATCTTTATGAACAACATGATTAAGTTGGATCTGACCTATGAACCACAGCATCACATTGTGTCTGTCTTTAAAGTGCTATGGCTGCTATTTCTCTTGCAATCTGGGTACAACTTTGGAATCAACCTATATTAGATGGCTACACTATCAAAATAGCTTGAGAGCAATCTTACAAAAAATTAATAATGGAAAGCAGCCTAACAGCCATCTTACACACTCAACTCTGTGATTGTTTTCATTTCATTTTTGCTTCCATAGCACCAGGGAGTCACTCTGATCCGTGGCACTGGATTCTCCAACCCACCCCTTTCCCCGCTCCAATTTCCATAATCACCTGTTGTTTCTTGGCCATTTCCTCACCTGGCAAAATCTCATAAATGATACTGAGGGATGGATGCAAGCAGCTACTAAAGGACACCACACTGGCATGGTACATTGCCCTACCGGCGCTGTCCCTCTACAGCGTTAAAGGAAATGCTGATAGCTTAGGAGGGAGATGCCAACATCCATCACTCTCTTGTCACCATTCTAAGTAAATCCTGCAAACCTTTTACTCTGGTAGCAGTCTCATGGCAGAGAATATGGAAGCACACAGAGTACTAAAAATAAAATAATGTAAGTTATGCACAAAACAGAAATCAAAGAGATATTCTGGGACAATATAGCTAGGCTCATGCCAAACCCAAAGGCAAGGTATACTATAAACCACAGTGTGTGGGTGCTGAAGTATTCCTCCAGTTTTCCTAGTGATACTGAATAGAGGTTGTGGCACCGAACACGTATGGTCGTACAACCTAGCAGCCCAAGGTCACACCAGCACTGTACTTCTGATACTCTTCAAAATTGTGAGGAGCTACCATAAAATATGAAGGAAACAAAAGCATCCTTTTGAACAAGAGCCAGTCTAGGAAATGGTTGCTGTAGAGGCTGTGTTGGGGCTTGAGTGTGCAGCAGATGGTCAAAGGAAATTCACTGAAAGTGGCTGTTTAGACAGTTTGCTTGAGCTGCTCAGTTCATAAAATGTTTATTACCTTCTCCTATGGTTTTCTGGAACACTGCCTGTGATAATATCTGGATGGCTGAAAGACCATGGTTTATTGCATCCAGCGAACCCAACCTCAGGCCATTTCTGTCTGGCCCATGCATTTCAACATTCTATCCTCTTTCCAAGGTAGTACATTCATGGTAATGCAAACTTTCCAGAGCTCTGTAGAAGCTGACCCTTATAGCTTTCCCGGAGAAGCAAGCTGACACATAGACTGGGTTCTGAGATGTGAGGTTCTCATTTATGCAGTTCTCAAAAACAAAGGGGCAATGATGAAAGGGAGCCGCAAGCTTGGGCTTTTCATCACTTCTTTCCAAAAGACTGCAGTGGCCTTTGGGGAATATTTATCAAAGTCAAGATCGCTGCCATTATCAACTTTATTGTGGTGAAAATGCAAATGACATGAATTTGCCTCCCCACTGTGTAGGGAGAAGAGGGAGGGGATGGACAGGGATGTTTCCTTCTCTTTGAAAGAAATCCTCTGTAAGATTTTTACTAGTTTTACAAACCTCTATGAAGCTTTTCAGCTGTTTATGGCTCAGATACAATAAGCCCTTAATTTAAATCCCCAGAATATGAACCATCCCTCAGTGCTGTTGATGAAAAACTAAAGATGTTGAAGCCTCTCCAGTGATATAATGAATGTTTGTGCCAAGGTGGGGAATGCTTAAAATTAGCAAGAAATTCTAGACATGTTCACACATTTCAACTTGAAAAGTATTTCTGAATTGCCCAAATGAAGTCCCATTCCCCAGTGGGAAGCAGAGACTCCTAGTGTTACCTGGGATGCCTGCGGTGGTAGCGGTTCCCGTTACCCATTGCTCTTATTTTTCTTGTTATCTCAGGCTGTTTGCCTTGTAATTTCCTGCCTGGCTGATCTCCACCTCACCCTCATATTCTCTATTGGGTGTTAGAAATGGGAAATCCCTTGCTATTGGATCATTTCTATTTAAATAAATAAAAATCTTAACACCAGCAAGCACATGTGATAATTAACAGATCTGAGGTCATAGTGGGGAACACAATGAAAATGGCAAATAGGGTAACCATAAAGATGGAGGAGCTGCAGTAACTCCACCGCAAAGGTTACAACATTTGGGACATTTGGTCTGGTGAAAAAATGTGAGTTAAGAGGGAACATGATAGAGGTGTAAAAGAACACAGAAAAATAAACTATTCCTCTCTCATAACACTAGAACTTATGAATATCCAATGAAGCTGAATGCTGGAAGATTCGGGAAAGATAAAATAAAGTACTTTTTCATGCAGCACATAGTTAAACTATGCAATTGACATTCAGAGGAGAAAGTGATGGCCACCAATCTGGATGGCTTTAAAAGATGGATTGGACAAATTCATTTAGGAGATGACTATCAATGGCTACTAGCCATGATGTCTATGCTCTCCCATCTCAGTTGGAAGGCTGAAAGCCACAGGAGGTGAAAATGCTCTTGTGCTTGAGTCCTGCTTGATGGCTTCCCATTGGGGAATCTGGTTGGCCACTGTGAGAACAGGATGCTGGACTCAATGGGCCATTGGCCTGATCCATTTTAAGAAGGACTTTAACAAAGTGGAGGAGGTGACTGTCAGGTGGAGGGATGTCAGGGAAACAAATCCTATGAAGAACTGTTTAAAGACTGGAGAACAGAAGATGAGACATGACAGTGCTTCACATATCTGTCATACAGCAGATGGAGCAGGCTTGCTTACTGTTACCTTTAGAAGCCAGGACTAGAACCAAGGGGTGGAAATTGGGTACTACACAGGATGGTTCTACTCTGCCTCTATGGTTGGATGTAGCATGCTGGGAATTACAAAGGAGAGTACTGTCATTGTACCCAGGTCTTGCTTGTGACCTTGCTATAGGCATGGTATTGTATGAGTTATGATGGTTGTGTTCTACCTCCACTGTTGGAGGCAGTAATGCTTCTGAGTAGCAATTGCTGGAAACCACGGGCAGAAAGAGTTTTCTTGTGCTTGGGTCCTGCTTATGGGCTTCTCACATTCATCTGGTTAGCATTGGTGAGAACAGGATGCTAGACTACATGGGCCATTGTGTGATTTTGGAGCATTCAGAGTCCTTGGCATCCATTTCCCCCTATAAATGCACACAGTAGTTTTGTAAAATAGGCTGGTGTGATTATCCCCATGTTGCAGTGAGTTGACTGTGGACAAGCATGGCTTGTCTTGGGTCATGTAGTGACTTCATGGCTGAGAAACTGATGAAGGCTAAGGCTATCAATGGCTACTAGGCACAATGACTATGCTCAGCCTCCATGGTCAGAAGCAGTAATACTTCTTAACACCATTTTATGGGAATCACAGGTGCAGAGAATGCTGCTGAAACTGCTTTGAATAACAATGTTAATATAACATACACTGTTTAAATTCTTAACTCATATTTACAACCTCTCCTTGTTGTTTTTAAAAATAAATTTTAATAGCAAACAAAGGTAGAAATTGCATTCGTGTCTCTCCTATGAGGAAAGCTTGCCGTGTCTGGGACTCTTCAGCTTAGATAAAAGGCAAGTAGGAGGAGACATAAAATTTTGGAGAAAGCAGATAAAAGTTTTTCCTCCTCTCTCATGACACTAGAACACGAGGACTTCCAATGAAGCTGAATGTGGGAAGAAGATGCACGACAGATACAATAAATGACTTCTTTACGCAGTGCAGTTTTACTATGGAGCTGCCTCTCGTAGGATGGGATAATGGCCAACTTGGTTTGCTTTCATAAAGGATCCGACAAATGCATGGAGGAGAGGGCTATCACTGGCTACTAGCCACGATGGCTATGCTCTGCCTTTGTGGAGCTGCAATGCTTCTGAATACCAGTTGCTGGAAGCCACAGGAGGGGGGAGAGTTGCTCCTGTTGCATTCAGGTCCTGCTGGCAGCTTTCCCACCGGGGCATCTGGTTGTCCACTGCGGGAACAGGACGGTGGGCTACATGGCTGGCCCTACGCCGCCCTGGCCTGGCGCTCCTGCTGCTGGACCTCTCCTGCGTCCTTCGCAGGTGCCCATTCTGTGACCCGCCCCTCCCCCGCTTCCCCCCCTCAATGACTCGCCCGCTCCGCCTCTCCTACCCAGGCCTCTCCTTTCCCCCGACCGGCTTGTGAAGGCCGGCCGCCTCCACCACCGCCCACACCGCCGGCGCCTCACCTCCCGCCGCACGTTCAGCAGCGAGTAATAGTCCTCGTTGTCCGGCGCCTCATCCACTGACGAGGCCGCAGCCATCTTGCCGACCTCTCACCCGCACTCGCGCATGCGCCGGCGTGGTGGCAGCAGCCGGCCGCCCGCCGTCCTGGCCGCTCTAGGAAAGAGGAAAGCTTAAGGCGGCCTCTTGGCTGCAGCGCCCCCTGCAGACACGCCTTTATAAAAAGGTGGCAGGGAATGGAAATAGGGAAACCGCAAGACAGCGGCGGGAGGGCACAAGGTCGGGCGAGGAGGACCGCATGTGCAGAAGCGGGAAACGCGGAGCGGCGGGGAATGAGCGGCTCCTGAGAGAGCTTTCGAAGAGGCCACCGCGTGGATCTCGGCGCGCATGCACATTGCCCCTATTGCTCTCTCTGGCTTCTAGGGGAAAGCGACGCACCGCCCTCTGGTGGGCGGGGATATTTGTAGCCCCGCCGCCCTCAGACTCAAACTGCAAGGAGGGTGTTAAGTACAGTATTGAGCAGTTTGGGAAAACATTCCAGCAAAATACATTAATCGGTTTTGGAAAATGAAGCATCAGTGATGCAGCCCAGGCAGTAACCGGGGATCTCTTCTGTAGCAGTTAATTAATGTGAATAATAATATTCATGATTTAAAAGATTTAAAATATACTAATAATAATTATAATCGGGATCCTTTCCACTTTGGTAGTAGGATGCAGCCCTGTGTTGGGGAGAGGATAGGCTGCTGTGCACAATGTTGTAACATACTCAAGAAACCCACACACTTCATTCCGTATTGATAAATCCCTTGAAACTACCCCTGCCTGTTCTATACACATCCCTAATAATTTACACCATCTACAATCACCACTTCAACTGTCTAGAAAGGGGGGGGGGGTTTGGCGGCATCGGCATAAATCCGTCTTTTTGCCATCCTTTTAAACGCTGAATATCGTATACATTTCAAAAGGTGGTTAAAGTGTTTTAGGGTATATCTACACTGCAAACTGACCAGGTTTATATCAATTTCACTGTTATGGCTTGCTGTAAAGAGCCCTGAAGTTTGTTGAGATCCGTGATATAGATCTTTTGAAGATCCCGTCGGAAGAAGATATGCGATGGACCAGGATCAGACTAAAGGAGCCCATCTGCCAGGCATCTATCCTGTTACCAGGAGTGGCTGCAGTCCGGGATGCCCGCAAGCCAGTCTGGCTGCTGTCCCTCAGTGATGGGCATTGCAAAGTGTTCTGGCTCAGAGAAGTCTTTCGACTTGCCATCCCCACTGCTGGACACTTTCAGGCAACTTTTATTCTGATTGGTTTGTGCAAAGGTTATACAACAAGGGTTTGCGTTGCAGGGAGGAGGAGAGGGAGGGAGAAACCCTGTTACACAAGCAGAAGTCCTTGTGCAGGGCTTCTGATAATGAACTCCTTATATGCCACCCAAAATTATTTAAATACATTACTAGCCGGAAAGTAGCTCGGGAGGCAGTTGGAGCTTTGGATGACAAGGGATTCCAAGGTGTGCTAAAGTAGGAAAAGGGGACTGCAGAGAAACTGAAAAGGGATACAAGAACTACCAGGCTCTTAGCAACAATTGCTATCTTCTGCCTCCATAGGTCAGAGGCATCCTCTGAATACCGTTGGCTGGGAATCGCAACAGAGGAGAGTGCTGTGTTGCACACATGCCCTGCTTGCTGACTTCCCAGAAGAGGCCATTGTGATGGCTTTGAAAGAGGATTAGACAAATTCATGGAGGAGAAGGCTATCAGCAGCTACTAGCCAGGATGGCTGTGCTTTGCTTCCAGGGTTGGAGGCAGCAATGTTTCTGAATATCAGTTGCTGGAAGCCACAGGAGGGGCCATGGTGGGAACAGGATGCTGGACTCAATGGGCCATTGGCCTGATCCAGCAGGCTTGTCTTACATTCGTAACTTTGCTTCAAGCGATTGCTATCCTGTATTTTTCACTTCATTTCCCCATTACTTTCCTTACTGCAAAAAGCCCAAGGTTTTTCTTTTTGTCCTCTCGGTATTATTATTATTATTATTATTATTATTATTTTGGAAGCAGGTTTGTTGGGCAAGAGCAGCAAATCTGCTCTAATTGCAAAACCTGGATTTATCAGAGTCCAAAGTGCTAACCATTACATTTATTGCCTCATGCTTGAATCTCACTTGCAAGAGAGCACCAATCTGGCAACAGTCTAATCCCCTTTTAAAGCCAGCTAAGCTCCTGCCTGCCGCCATCACCTGGTGGAAGAGACCACCATACATTAAGCACACATTGTGGAAATAGGCCCTTCCTCCTCCCCGTATTTCCTGAATTTCCTGCCAATCAGTTTCAAATTTCTACAGTTCCCAGAATTCCCAGGAGAGATGGAGCTGCTAGGAAGCCAATGCAAACTGATAGCATGTTACATATGCCTAGATTCCTAGAGCAAGGGAACAGAACATAGCAGTCCTCCTTGTTGCTGGTCTGGAACTCCCATCATCTCTGACCATTGCCCACATTGGCTGGGGCTGATGGGAGCTGGAGTCCAGCAACATCTGGAGGGCCACAGTTTCCCCATTGCTGCCTCTATACCTGTGTACACACTGCACCTTTGAAGCACATTTCCCCCCTCAAAGAATTATGGGATAGAGAGACTCACCTGCGTGGAAAGCTTGCATCAGTTGGGACTTTTTAGCTTAGAGAAAAGGTGAGTAAAAGAAGACATGAGAGAAGTTTATGAAATTATTCAGGGCTTGGAGAAAATGACTGGAGAATTATTGTTCTTTCCTCTTTCTCTCATCACACCAGAACTCGACGTGGGCATCCGACAAAGCTGAACATTGGAAGATTCAAAACGGAAGAAATAAAGTACTTCTTCACACAGTGCATAGTTAAACTATGGAACTCACTGCCACAGGAGGCAGTGGTGGCTTTGAAAGAGGATTAGACAAAGAGAAAGCGGTCCGTGGCCAAGATGGCTGTGCTTTGCTTCCAGCCTGGGTTGGAGGCAGCAATGCTTCTGAGTATCAGTCGCTGGAAGCCACAAGAAGGGGAGGTTGCAGTCGGAATACAGTGGTACCTCGTGATACAGACACTTCAGGTTACAGACACTTCCGGTTACAGACTCCGCTAACCCAGAAATAGTACCTTGGGTTAAGAACTTTGCTTCAGGATGAGAACAGAAGTCATGCTCTGGCAGTGTGGCAGCAGCAGGAGGCCCCATTAGCTAAAGTGGTACCTCAGGTTAAGAGCAGTTTCAGGTGGACCTCCAGAACAATGGACCTCCAGAACAAATTAAGTTCTTAACCCCAGGTACCAGTGTACTGCAGCCAGAAGCAGTGTCTGGGCAGAAATCACTGTGAAACATCTGGGAAAACCTGGATATATGACAATCGATGTTGGAAGTCTAGATTTTGGCAAATTTCCTTAAAAATAGCTCAAAAACTTCATTTATTTTTGAGATTTTGCAAAAAAATATATTGGCCTGATCCAGCAAGCCGTTAGAGGTAAACTACAGAGCCCAGAATTCTTTGAGTGGGGAGGGAATGTTTTTCGAATGTGCTTTTAAGGGATCATGTGTACTCGCAAACCTTTCACTGCCCTTTTTTGGGGTGGTGGAGTTATCATTTTTATCATTTATTGATTTTATATACCGCCTTATACCTGGAGGTCTCAGGGCAGTTCACAGAACAAAGGCTGAGTAGAGAAGAGTTGTTACCTCCCGGCAGCAGAAACCCTGAGCGAACAAGCATTGAAAGGAACATGGCTGTGTAAACAACTGCTTGCAGCTACCGCAGTTATGTAGCTCATAACATCCTCCGCTCCCCTTCAGGCTTGACCCTACCATTCCTCATGTCCCTCCCCCCCCTTTCTCTGCCAATGGTGAAAGGTCCTCCTCATTACCACTGTGCCTTTTACAAGCACCTTTCTCGTTAGTTGTGCATGCTGAGGCAGCACCCGTTTTGTCTCCCTTCCTTAATTGCTTGGCGTACGTCGACGTACCTACAGTCCTATATTTGGAAAGGTAATTTTCATGTAAATTTCTGCCTCTGGTATATATTGCATTGCGAGATCTAATTAATTAGATTGGGTGCCCTTCCTCGGGAAGATTACTTAAAAATCTGTCTGTTCTATAATTTAAACGTTCGGGGAAATTGCAGAGTTCTGAAGAGGGGGGTGGGGTTTTGGCAGGGCTGGCCGACAGTCTGACACTAGAGAAGCATAGTAGTAAGTTTCAGGGGGACTTACACCCAGGTAGGCGGAGATAAGATTGCACGTTCCAAAACCTTGGCGTTTTTGAAAGGAGATCGGCACCGTTCCTGCCCCATTCCACATCTGTTTTCCAAGCGCAAATCCTCATAAAGGGATTCCAGAAGAAAAAGTCTCTTCCTTCTCTTCCACCTGCAGCCTGGGCCCCTACCTGTGTCTCCAGTGCATCCTTGCTTCTGCACTTTTTGAGGCATAGGGCATCTGCAAAGTATTTCTACCCCACTCCTGACAGGTACTTTGAGTTATCCCTGCTCCCCACTGCTGAGGATTCCCCTTGTGGTTTCGTGACACTGGATCCCAATTTGGTCTCTGAGATATTTCCTTCCCAAGATCCCTATCTTTCCATTTATAACAAAACAGGTTTTTGTTTTGTTTTGTTTTAAAGGCACCGTAAGTCCTGCATTCATAAGAAATCGATCTTTTGCTTGGTCAGACCACACCTGGAATACTGTGTCCAGTTCTGGGCACCACAATTTAAGAAGGATATTGACAAGCTGGAACATGTGCAAAGGGTCTGGAAACCAAGCCTTATGAGGAACAGTTGAAGGAGCTGCGTATGTTTAGCCTGGAATAGAAGAGACTGAGAGGAGATATGATAGCCATCTTCAAATATCTACAGGGCTGTCACAAGGAAGATGGGCCAAGCTTGCTTTCTTCTGCTCCAGAGGGGAGGACCCCAGCCAATGGATTCAAAATACAAGAAAGGAAATTATGAGGAAACATCAAGAAGAACTTTCTGACAGTAAAAGCTGTTTGACGGTGGAACAGTCTCCCACGGGAGGTTGTGGACTCTCCTTCCTCGGAGGTTTTCAAGCAGAGGTTGGATGGCCATCTGTCATGGATGCTTTAGTTAAGATTCCTGCATTGCAAGGGGCTGTA